TTGAAACTTAAATTTTTTTTTTTCATGTTTTCATGCAACTACATAAATGTTTAACATTTGATACTTTATACACTTTTTTTTTTACTTTCACAATAGCATCAATATCATCTGCAGTGCCATCAGGTAATGTGTTTTGCATACTTATACAGTTTTAGGAGTGTTATGTGTATTGAAACCTAAGCATTACTTTTTTCATGTTTGTTATCATTTTCATAAATGTTTAACATATGTTACTTTATACACTTTTTTTTTTACCTTCACAATGGCATCAATATCATCTGTAGTACCATCAGGTAATGTGTTTGGCATACTTATGCAGTTTTATGGGTTTTATGTGTATTGAAATTAAACATTACTTTTTTCATGTTTGTTATCAAATACTTAAATGTTTAATATATGTGTTTGTTTTTTATATATTTCCGTAATAGCAACAGTATCAACTGCAGTACCACCAGGGAACGTGTTTTCCATATTTATGCAGTTTTTCCATTTTTATGCCGGGTTAATGTATATTGAAACCTAAACATTACTTTTTTCATGTTTATATGCAATTACATAACTGTTTAGTATAATAATGTGTTAGTTCATATACTTTTTTATTTATTTCCATAATAGCAACAATATCTGCAGGACCATCAGGTAATCTGTTTTGCATTCTTATGCAGTTTTATAGGTGTTATGTGTATTTGTGTATGTATATATGAAATTTAAACATTGCGTATCCTTATTTTTACATTACTTTATTATTATTTTTTTTTGTCATAACTTTTTTTTTTTTAAAGTCTAAATAGTTTTAAATAATATTTTTATTGGTTGTTTTGTACAGAATTGTATTCAATTTTTTTTTTGTTTTTTTGTTTTTTAGCATCGGATCAAGATTTCCTGCGATATCGCTCCCAGCACCCAGGTCCGATATCTCAAAGAGCTTTTTACTAGTGGTGTCAATATGGGGAAAATGATCCCTCCTTTAGATGGAGGAGACAGGCACCATATGACACCACTGGAAGAAGGAGGGGTGCTGGGAAGCGGTTCAACACTTTTAACTTCTACCAGTAGCTTTTTTAAGCTACTGGTAGAATTATCTTCATTTTTAATTATAAAGAATATTGACTTTTTAAAAAAATTTTTTTTTTAGTTTTGCATTCTTTTATTATTTCGATTTTTATACTTTCACTATTTTATTTTTTTGATCTTTAATTCTGTTTTTAAATCCTAAACTTACAAAAGAACTCTTATGTTATAAAAGTTTTTAATAATTTGTTTATAAGTTTTTTTTTATGAATTTACGTTTTTACATCTTTTTATCCTCATTTTTAATTTTAATAATAATAAATTTTCTTTTGTATTAACTTTAATTTTTTCTATGATATCTGTTTAATATGTCTAATATATGCACTACACACCTATTAATCTCTGTACATTATTCTCTTTAGATATATTATAAAATAGTATTTAAAATCAGTTGTCAGCCACATGTGGTCTATATGATGCAACATGTTTGCAATTGTTGGCATGCCATTTATAAATTTGTAACTAATTTTGCTTTATAATATTACCATTAATATGACTTTTAAAACAATACAATTTTTTATTTGTTTCAAAAAATACTGTTTTGTTACTTACAATATAGTATGTTATTACAAGATACTTCTGACTTTTTCTCTATTTCAAACCAGTTTAGTTATAACTTTTGTTCACAAATTTTATTAGACGTTATACACATAGTTTCATAGGTTTAAATTGATAATTAGCACTTTATTGTTTTAGTTCATTTTAGATTAGTATAGCAAAAAAAATAATCAGATAAAGTTTTATCAAACATAAATAATTTCTCAATTATGTCAAGTAACTTAAGAGCTGAAAATAGAAGAAATCGTCGAAATGAGAGAAATGTGGCCAGACAAGAAGAAATTAGTCGTTGCCAAAATGAGAGAAATGAGGCCAGACGAGAAGCAATTAATCGTCGCCAAAATGAAAGAAATGAGGCTAGACGAGAAGAAATTAATCGTCGCCAAAATAAAAGGAATGAGGCTAGGCGAGAAGAAATTAATCGTCGCCAAAATGAAAGAAATGAGGCTAGACGAGAAAAAATTAATCGTCGCCAAAATGAAAGGAATGAGGCTAGGCGAGAAGAAATTCATCGTCGCCAAAATGAAAGAAATGAGGCTAGACGAGTATTACTTAGGCGTGGAATGCATTGCGTAGCAAGAAATAATGTTATTATACAGAGTAATTACCTAGGAGAAATGAACCATAATTGTCAGTATTGTGGTGCTAAAATTTTTTTAAATGAAACATATTTTTTGTGCTGCCATTCAGGAAAGGTTGTCTTACCTCCACTTTCACCTTATCCACCGCTGATGGTTGATTTAATGACAAGCAACCATGTTGATCGTGCTTTGAATCAAAATTTTTTCAAGCATATACGAAATTATAATGCCTGTCTATCTTTTGCTTCATTCATAGCCACAATAGATCCTCGGTCAAATCGTGCTCCACCCTGTTTTAAAATTAGTGGGCAAATTATGCATCGTATTGGTAATTTAAGACATCAGCAAGGTGATCCACCTGTTTATTGTCAATTATATGTTTATGATCCTAATACTGCTTTAAACTTTCGAATGGAGCAAAATGATTGTTTCATACGTGAATTAATGGAACTTTTGCAGACTATAATTAATCAGGAGAACCCATTTGCACTTGCATTTAAAAACATGGCAGAAGTTAAAGATGCAGAAATTCGTCAAGCTGCTATAGAAGGTCGACCAATTTCTGTTGTCAAAATGTCGTTACTTGAGGGTTGTGATAGACGTCGATACAATCTTCCATCACATGAAGAGGTTGCCATTGTGTTTGTAGGAAAAGATGGTGCTCCACCTCCATCTAGAGAAGTTGTTATTTATCCTCGAGGTCAATCCTTAAAAAAAATTTCAAGTCTGCAAATCTAGATCCAATGATATATCCAATATTTTTTTCCAAGAGGTGATGCAGGATGGCATGATCAACTAGAGCACAATCCTGACCGAACAACACGTGTTCGAAATCGTGTTACTTTGTGTCAGTACTACAATTATAGGCTTTTTATTAGACAAACGTTCAGTCCTATATTTTATGGTAAGAAGCTTTTTAGACAGTATGCTGTAGATGCATATGTCAAGATTGAAGGACAGCGCCTTGCTTTTATCAGAAATAACCAAAACAAACTTAGAAGTGAACAATACAATACATTACATGAGTATGTAAATAATATTGCAAATAACCTTAATGTAAGATTGGGTCGTGTTGTTATACTACCATCCTCATATGTTGGAAGCCCAAGAGCTTTAAAAAAAAATTTTGAAGATGCAATGGCAATTATAAAGAAATATGGTAAACCAGATCTTTTTATTACTTTTACCTGTAATTCAAAATGGAGAGAAATTACAGAAAATTTAAATCCAGGTGAGAACGCAACTGACAGGCCTGATTTAGTTTGTCGCGTATTTAAGATGAAACTTAAATGCTTCTTAGGTGATATTTTTAAACATGGAGTCTTAGGCAAAGTTGTAAGTCATGTACAGGTTATTGAGTTTCAAAAACGTGGTTTGCCACATGTGCATATTTTATTACACTTTGTAAATGAAGATAAGCTAGAAACAGCAGAGGATATTGATAGTTTAATATCAGCTGAAATTCCAGATCAAACTGTTGATCCTGAACTTTTTGAAATTGTAAAAATATGTATGATTCATGGACCATGTGGGATTTTAAATCCCAATTCTCCTTGCATGAAAGATGGAGTTTGCACAAAAAAATTTCCTAAAGAGTTTAATCCTCGCACTGTTGCAATTTTCAATGTTTATCCTAACTACAGACGTTTAGATAATGGTAGAGTAGTCATTATAAAAGGTAACCAAGTTGATAATCGATGGGTCGTACCCTATAACCCCTGGTTATCAAAAAAATACCAAGCCCACATTAATGTTGAAGCCTGCATGTCTGTTAAGTCAGTGAAGCATTTATACAAATATGTCTATAAGGGGCATGATTGTGCGAATGTGGTAATTAATGAAAGTGTTGACCATGATGAAATTGACACATATTTAGACTGTCGCTTTGTTTCCGCCCCAGAGGCTCTTTGGCGAATATATGAGTTTTCCATAAGTGATATGTCACATACTATTATCCGCCTTCAAATCCACCTTCCTCATGATCAGAGAGTATGTTTTAACGAAGGAGAAGAACAAGTAGCTATACATCGTGCAGCACAGCGTGACACACACCTAACCGCTTGGTTTAAGTTAAATGCTGAAAATAATGAAGCACGTCAGTATTCTTATGTTGAAATTTCATATCACTTTGTATTTGGTAAAAATTGCAAGTGGAAAGTAAGATAAAGAGGTAGTGATAAGGCGGTTGTTCGAATGTATAAAGTCAGTTCATTTTGCGAATTATTTTTTCTCAGATTGTCACTTTTGCATATAAAAGGTGAAAAGTCTTTTGAGGATTTGCGTACTGTTCATGGTACTGTTTTTAATACATTTCGTGAAGCATGTTATCATTTAGGTTTATTGCAAGATAACATTGAGTGGAGAAATACATTAACTGAAGCTGCTGCAACTCGGATGCCTAAAAAAATTAGGCTACTGTTTTCCATCATATTAACTTTATGTGAACCTGATGATCCTTTACACATTTGGAATACATTTAAAAATTATATGATTGAGGATTACATACGCCATTCAATGCCAGTCGTACTTGCTGAGCAAGCAGCTCTTCGTCAAATTGAATCTATAATTAATCAGAGTGGTAAAACCTCAGCTAATTATAATTTGCCAGCTTTAGATCAGTTTTTAGATAATGTCCCAGAAAATGATGATGAAGATGTTCAGGTGTTTATTGATGAAGCAAACCGAGTTAGACCATTATTGAATGATAATCAACGTAATGTAGCTGATGCGATCCTTGCTGCACTAAGTGTGGAACCTTCTAATGAAAATAAGCATTAAAGGTTGTTTTTTATGGATGGGCCTGCTGGTTGTGGTAAAACATTTACTTACAATTATTTAATTGCTGAAACACGAAGCAGGCATATTAGAATTGCAACAGCTGCATGGACAGGAATAGCTGCAACTCTTCTCAAAAGTGGGTGCACAATGCATGGCTTATTCAAACTTCCTGTTCCAATTTTGGAAACTAGCACATGTAATGTAACTCCAAACTCTATTCATGGTAGATTTCTGAGACAAATCAGTTTGTATTTACATGATGAAGCATCTATGATACCCAAATATGCTTTGAGTGCCATTGATAAGCTATTACAAGATATTTGTATTAACAACTTTCCTTTTGGTGGTAAGGTTGTTCTTATGGGTGGAGACTTCAGACAAATACTTCCAGTTGTGAAGCGAGGTCAACCAGCAGAAGTTATTGAATCCAGTTTAAAATGTTCTGAACATTGGCAATATGTGCAAAGGTTCTCATTAACTGTAAATATGAGGGTTCAGATAGAAGAAGCGGAATTTTCTCAATGGCTTTTAAAGCTCGGAAGTGGAACATTACCTGTCAAGCCTGAAGATCCTTTGCGAGGGTGTATTGAAATACCTGAGCAGTGCTTTCTCAGTGATAATGAATCTATTGTGGAGAAGATTTTCGGTGGTGCAGAAGAAGCTGATTATGCAAAACGTGCTATTTTAACGCCAACAAATGTTGATTCATTGGCAATAAATGAAGAAGTCCTTCATCGTTTACCCGGTGATGTGAAAACATATTTAAGTTCAGATAGGATTGAAACTGATGATCTCAATGAAATTAATAACTTTCCAGTCGAGTTTTTAAATAGTTTGACTCCATCAGGTATGCCTGTTAATTGCCTAAAATTAAAAATTGGTGCTGTTATAATGCTACTTAGAAATTTAGATCTCAAAGGTGGACTTTGTAATGGAACCTGTTTAATGGTGCGTGCATTACACAACAATTACATTGATGGTGAGGTTTTAACAAGTGTACCAGCTGGTGACAGGGTATTTGTTCCTCGAGTTCAATTAGCTCCATCAGATGCAAATTTACCTTTTACACTTAAACGCCGTCACTTTCCAGTTAGGTTAGCATACTCAATGACCATAAATAAAAGTCAAGGTCAAACATTTGAAAAAGTTGGTGTTTATCTCAAAAAGCCTTGCTTTTCACACAGCCAATTATATGTTGCATGTTCAAGAATAAGATCATTTAATAGTTTGTTTTTCAAATTTGATAAACATCCATTTCAAGGTATGTCATTTAACAAACATTATTCAAATAATGTTGTCTTTAAAAATGTTCCTAATTTATAATTTTGACAAGTATATTATGTGTTATATGTGTTTTATATTTTTTGTATTTTTTTTTCCTATATGTGTATATAAATGTATGTACTTATATGCGTTTATATATCTTTATTTATATTTATGTGCTTAAGTTTATACAAGTTTATATTAAGTTGTTTCCATGTGAAAAGTGTTGTTATTTGGCAACGTGTAGTGCAAAATTGTGATTCTTGCTAGCCAAGCATTGATACTAAATAGTGGTGTTACTTGGCACATAATGCCAAGCGGTGTTACTAAATTGTGGTGTTACTTAGCAGCGTTTAGTGCCAAGCGGTGTTACAAGTGTTGAGCTAGGTTGTGTTGTCTAGCTTTTTAAATTATTCTGGAAACACATTATCGGAATATTTTGTGTTATGTGCAAATGTGTTATGTACAAATATTTGATGTGTATTCAGTAGCATAGGCAGGGTCTTTTGATGCTTCAAATAGCACTTTCAACCAAACTTAAGTGTATTCACGTTTATAGAATTAAAATACTTTGCAAAAAATTGATGTTGTTAAAGCTTAGGAACAAATGTTTAAAAAAAGTGTTTTTCCTAACCCGAATTTTTTTAGACATAACAAAGTTAAACTCTTCAACAGCTTCTAAATATTTATCTGAAACAAAAAAAATCCTGCCTACACTACTGGTGTTATTGTTTGTCATCCTGTAATGTTGTTGTGATGTTTTGTGTTGATAGACAGCTTGGCTTACCTTCACGTTAGTGTCTATCGTTAAAAATGGTTATTGGGTAGCTTCACTACTGAAACTTACTCCTAATCATTCACTAAAAGGCAAGAAATATTTTAAGAAAAAATGCTTATTTTTTGTGTCAGTAAGAATTTTTATTTTTAGCAATGCTGATATATACAAATTGTTGTAAATTAGTATTTCAATAATTTGCGTGTAAATAATTTTCACGTTGTTACCTTATTTTGCAGTTTCCTATCACCTTGTATTGAATTAACTAGATCCAATATTACAGTTCCTTATATCAAGTACTTCACATTTTCTGTTTTTGTTTTATGCAGAAAAACAGATCAAGGTAATTTATTTGACTTGCCTACCTACTTATTTTACACGCCTAGCCACAGTGAGTGTGCATAAATCAACAGAGGATTTGGGTTTGGGCAGGTTGTCTTGAACTAAATGATTTACCTTCTTCATGTTAAGCTCTAAATATAAATATACGGAAAAGGTGCATATGTGAATTTTTTTTTTTCTAGCACATAATCTATTGTTCACTAAAAAATATTAGAGGGAGAAATAGAGATAAGGTTAATGTGGAATAGAGTTTGTTCTTTTAAGTAAAAACTATTTTATAATCTATCTATCTTCTATATAATAATGCCGAACTTAATAGTAGTGTTAGTAGAAAGAGTCGCAGCACTTTTTTTAGAAGAAAACGTGTATGCAAATATCTAACGTACGTAATTAAGTAATGATAAAACATACTGAAACATTTTTCAAGTTTTATAGTTTGACTTTGACTTAAAAATTGCATTGCGTCAAACTCTCCTTAATTTTTGATCTACAGCAATTCCGTTAAAAACAATTTTTATATATTATTAAAATTTCGATATTTGATGTGTCAGCATGGCCGAGTGGTTAGCACGCTATGCTTCTGAACGTAATAGTCGTGGTTCAAATTTACCACCAGCAATTTTTTTCTTTAAATTACAAAATATTTGTGAAGTTAAACAAGTTAAATGTTATACACTTTAACCGTTTTTTCTTTTTAAATTATATAAATTTTTTGGATTTCTAAAAACACCAATAAACGGGGCGAAAATTTGTTGCGTGTGTGTCATGATTTTGATACTGTTCTCACATAATTGGTCCTAATAAGCTACGGATAGTCTTAAAAAAAAAGTCCTAAAACCTAATAAGGAAAAAAAATTGATAAAACCGTCCTGCTACTCCACATGGTATTGCAGTGGAGGCAGGGAAAAAAAAGCAAAGAAAAGGTTTTTTGTTATATTTAATTTTTGACTTTAAATATAGCCAGATTAAAAAAATTAAAAAGTATTGAGATTTTTTAGGCGCGGATTTGAAGCCTTGCACAGCGAATCTGATGACTGCGCACTTAACTTGTGAGCTATCAAAGTTGTGCATGTAGTTAGGCGCTTCAACATTTTTTTAAAAATGTAAAATGAAAACAAAATAAATACCATAAGTAAGAGCTAAATGATAACGTTTAAAAATTACCAAATTTTTTGTTATATTATTATTAGTTTTTCAACTTTTAAACCACAAAATTTATAATTTATTTTTTTGCATGACTTTTAACGCTTTAAGCGACTAACGTCTTAAGGAATTGCATAACCGTTTCCGCCTAATACAAAGGTAACTAACTATAAAAGACCGTTATTATTCAAAACTAAGCATATAATAATAATAAATATAGTTAATAGTAACTATTGAAAATAGCTAGGGTGCGACCATAAACCATGGTCCATGGCTGGTCTAAAAGTAGGAAATAGTTTAGTTCAGAATTTAAAAAAAAAAAAAAAATAAATAAACGGGGTTTAAGAAGCTATATACGTATGCGGAGAAAGTGCGTAAGTTCAATTTTTTTTTTGCTCTCAAAGCAAATTTTTTTAATGAATTTTTTTCCACCGTTTATTAAAAAATATTGAAGTAGATAGAGAACAAGTAAAGAAACGATTGGCGTGGAATAGATAAATATAGAAGTAGAAGAAAAGACCTGTATTTACCGATACGGACAGCTAGATTAAAAAAATAAGGGAAAGGTTTGTGGGGAATAGACATACAAAGACCCGTATTTTTACGGGTCAGTTCGGCTAGTATATATATATTAGGGTAGGCCACAGTCCCACATAAAGTTTTCAAAGTATTAGTTTTACTAGTAGCTGCATAAAATGTTGCTCCTTTTACTATAAAAATCATTTTTTGTTACGAAAGTATTAATTCATTTCTAAGTTCTGCCGAATTTCATTTTAATTTTCAGTTATACGAATAAATCCAAAACACAAAACTTCCATTGTTTCTGTTTCGTTTTTTAAGTTTATTTACTAATAACGGCATACTTCTATTGCTTTTCATGTAAACAAACAAAACATGCGACACTTTCCTGTTTATTTAAAAATAATGCAAGCAACATAGTCTTTTGCAGAACACAGGAGTGTTTTATCTACTTTAACTAATTTGTTATATTTTTTTTCTAATTACTGTTTTTTTTTTTCTAAACATTTTGCATGAGTAACAGCCGCTTAAATCATAAAGTTTATGTATGAAAAAAAATGTAATTTAAATTCTTCTATATAATTAAATACCATGCATTTTCACGATACTTAAAGATTTTTTATTTAAAATAAAATAATTTGTTATTCTCAAACAACATAAATGCATTTAAAGACAGTTTAAAAAACAAGGCTAATAAAAAAATACGAAGTATCATAAAGCAAGTATCATGACACTACTCTATTTTTTAAGAAAGCAACATAATTTATTGATTCTATAATTATGTTCATCTTTTTATTCGTTTTAAAGAAACAAAGATGTTTTACGTATTATTATTTTTCTAGCAGTCATACAATTTAATTCATTTTAACATTTTAACATGGCATTGCATACACAAAAAAGAAAATAAAATTTGTCTGCAAAAAATAATTTTACTGAGTCAATCAAAAAGAAATACTCAAAATTATTGAAATTAACCAATGAATTATGGTTGGTTGGATATCCGCTGGCAGATATTAATACCAGTTCTCTGCCTACTACTACAGATGCCTACAGATTTTTTAGGTTTATACTATTTAAAGATTTTTATAACTTAAATTTTTATTTCTAAAAATAACTTTATTTTTCAATTAGAAAATAGACTTCAATTCATCTTTTGCTTACTTGTTAAGGTATCAATTAAAAATGATGAACAATTTGCTTCAAGTGTTTTCTAAATGTACAAAAGAATTAGGTACTAAAAGCAACATTTAAAAATTAAAATTAGCTGCAAAATTAACCATAAAAACCGTTAAAGTATTTTGGGATAAAGCTGATATTCCTTGCAAGCAGGAAAAGTATATTGTTGAAAGTATTATTAAGTTACATGATTAATGGAGAAGTCTTGCAAAGTCTAAACATAAATGTTTTTCAAAAAAAGATTTACTTATTCAAGGCTTCAAAAAAAAAAAAGGATAATATGTTTGATATTAGTTCTTCAAATCAGAAAGAATATGTTAAAAAAAACAGATCAAATTTGACTGCAGAAGAAAGTATTATCTGGTTTTCAGCACTCAAAAGTGGAGTGAAAACCGGAGGACTAGGTGGAAAAGATAATTTGTTGAAATTAAGTGTCAAAAGAAAAATAGAGAAGGAGGAAAAAGAAAAATTAAGAATCAATAAAGAAAAAAAAAGAAAAAGAAATGATAAAGAAGTTGATTTCAGCATTTATAAAAGTGATAGTGACTCAACTGAAGAAACATTTTTTGCTGGGTCTAGAAGTTCTATGTACTCAGATTCTCAGAGCTATTCTAAAATTGATTATGAAGTAAATAATTTTGAATCTTCTGCAGATGTAGTGGAAAAAATTGTATCAGATAATATCAATTGAATTTTGCCAAGAAACTTTGTTTGTCATCTAATAATAACAGCAACAGCTGATAGATCTAAACTATCAAACGCACAGCTTATGATGAATGTTTCAGCAAACCTGGTTCTAAGTTATTTTTTTATTGTAACTAAACACAATTAGAAGAACACGTAAGCAAAATAGACAAATTATGGCAAGAAATATAATTGAAGAATTTAAAAAAAAGTTAGATTAGATTATTTAACTCTTCACTGGGATGGGAAACTTATGAAGCAAATATCTGGTAAAATGTTTTACTGTTTAACTGTTTTAGTAAGTGGTTTTCCAAACTGCAAGGAAGGTAAAATTTTTTCTATTAAACCTATTAAGTCAGGCATAGGACATTCTATATGTAAAGGAATCATCGAAGATTTAGAAAAATGGGATCTTAAAGATAATATTGTTGCCCAAGTTTTCGATACAACGGCTTGTCATAATGGAGTAAGAAACGAATCAGCAACTCTTCTTGAAGAATGCAAATCTATAAAAACGCTTCTATGGCTTGCATGTCGTCATCATGTTTAAGAATTAATCCTAGGGTCGTTTTGGAAAGCTTTATTTCAAAAAGCGACATCATCTGATGATAATATATAGTTTAAAAACTTTCAAAAAGAATGGCTTCACTCTAAAAAATTCCTCTAAAACTTTCAAATAGATACCTTGATCTTGAAAATTCATTTCCACACTCCTTCTGATAAACCAATGAATGCTCTGCTGGGAGTGTTTGAGAGGATGTTATACATTTGTAACTGATGTTTGTCGCTCTACAATTTTAATTCAGCGGGCAGATTTCTTTTTGCTTGCAATTGCAAGGGAGATTTTCAGTGGTGTTAATTAAATTTATTTTTTTGTTGTGGCTTTTTATAATTTTTGAAATATTGTTTGAGCAGCTGTAGCCAACTTTTGTAGTGTTTTGATTGAATAGTTTATGTAATGGATTTAAAGGTGGGTAGTGTTTATCTATTATTTGTAAAAAGATTTGGCCAACATTGGTGGAGACGCTTTTATTGTAGGGTGGGTTAAACCAAATTACATTTCTTTTTCTTTTGAGAGGTGTCTTAATTTTTGGGTTGTACTTTAAGTTAAAGATTTTAAAACCGTTTTGTTTAAGTGCTTCTTCGTATTCTGTTTTTGAAGCGTTAAATATTTTTTCATTGGAAGAATTTTGCGATAATCGATCATTAATGGAGAGAGGGATCTGCTTAAGAACTTGGGGCGGGTGGTTTGATTCATGTGGATCTAGAACAGTTGGTCATTTTGTTTTTTAAAAGGTTGGTAGAAGTTTTTTTGAAGATTAATATATATATATATATATATATATATATTATATATATATATATATATATATATATATATATATATATATTTTTTTTTTTTTTGTCGGGGATAGTGCAAGACCGCGTAACTGGCATTATATAATACTGTATATCTACAAAAATATCTAGTAAAAAGAGTATTATTCATATTTTCTTAATCTCAATAATAAACATTTAGAGTTAAAATTAAAAATATCCAAATGTAGTAGCCAATGCTAGTTACGCTTTATCTCCGATGATATATATATATATATATATATATATATATA